AGATGGGGAAGGAGACTGAATGCTGGTTGTTAAGGAGCCTTAACAACTTGTAAAAACATATCAAAAACGTAAAAAAAAAGCATATTAATGAGTTTTTTGTATGTTTTTCATTGACGTCTATGGGGCCAACATCACGCTGCAATTGCATCAAAGTTGCAAAGGAGCCTTTTTCAAAAACGCATCTTGATGTGCTGCATTGATGTGAACGGGCACCACTGTGAATGTAATTTCCATTGTCATGTGATTCTGTGTAGCTCAAGTCACATAAGAAATCGCACTTGTGTGAACCAGGCCTAAAAGATAGGTGAAACCTGAGATAGTGCATGGGTGTTTATAGTTAAAGATGAACTCTAGGCAAACAACTAAATACACAGATATAATACATATTAGGGGGCTGCCAAAGGATTTGTACAGTATATCTGTCCATTTAGTACTATGATTTATGCAGCTCTGTACCACAGCGGGGAGGGGACCAGATCTTCCTCTGCTGTAGTTTCACTTTCACTTACAGTCACCCTCCCATCATCTCTATGTCTCTGCCATTCTGCTTTCTTCTCCTACCTGCATACTCCTTGCATTAAAGAAACCCTAACTAGCTCCTTATTATTATTATACAGGATTTATATAGCGCCAACAGTTTACTCAGCACATTACAATATAAAGGGAGACAATACAGCAACAATACAGTTCAATACAAGAGGATAGTAAGGCCCTGCTCCTTGTGCTGTTTCTTCCTTGCCCTCTCTGAGATCTGCTGTACATATTGTACAGTAGACTGCAAGAGAGTAATACTAAGTGAGATTCAGATAGTCACACTGCTTGCTGAATAAAAAAGTACATTTAAGGCCCATTTACATTTTGAGTTGAGTTAACATGCATTATGTCAAGCATTAACTTGCTCTGTATTCAGGCAGCTAATTGAATCAATGGGCTGCAAATGCATCAACGTTTTCCCCAAAAAACAGATGAGCTACAAATGTTTTTCTTCCATGCATGTGTGTTGCTTTTGTGCATTGGAGGTAAGATTCATAATGAATGGCACTGCAATGCAGCAAAGCAACACAATGTATGCATGTAAATGGTCCCTTTATGATCTATTTATGGAGTACACAGTTGCGTTCATTTGTGCATTTTACATCTCTCTGGAGTTTAGCTTTATATTCACATTTCTTTTCAACAACGTAAGCCACTTGTTATGTTGATACAAGATATGGGAAGGGGTATAGTGACAGAACTTGGAAGCTATAAAATGAAAATGTTTTTATTTTCTTTTTTTAATTTACAGGCATGTATGTATGTGTTCTATGTGTTTTACTTTTCTTTTTTTTCTCCAATTACTCATTCACATTATGAGGTTCTGTACTGTTTCAAGAGATTACCTGTTGTGTTTATCTCCCTGTATCTGTCAACATTACTGTTTGTATGTTTTAACATGACAACACATTTTCAGCAACATAAAAAATCATGTATTATATAGAGCTGTGAAATCATGTTTGTCACCTGATTCCCTTCTATAGCTTACAATTTTACAAGAAATACCTCGAGGTCATAAAGCTGTCAACAGCATATTCACAAAACATCATGTACTTCACAATTTGTACTTCACAATATGTAATTATATAGAGGCTTTCCTTATCTGAACGATTACATAGAGTGTAAAACAATAAATCAGATGCTCAAAATTAAAAAAAAACATACTAGTATAAAAATGATTTATTCAGTACTGTTTAAACAGTGCCATTTCATTTTCCTCCTTGTTCACAATATCTAGGACACTACACTAAACAGTATTTTAGTTGAACCAACCAACAATATGACATAATTATAATACAGGGGAATATTTAGAAAGCTATTTATAAAGGTAGCAATTGATTAATTCATAACTTTTTCAACACCAACCACCAACTTTTTAAACACCTGTCAGAAGAATCACTTTCTTTATAGACCATAAAGCCCTTATTAAAATAGAAAGAAAACGAGCCCAAAGTGCAGCTACCAGTCAGTCATTTTATGGAAAAATGTTCCTCCATTTAGCCAATTTGGTTCCTAGCTTAAAGCCCAACTATTGGTTTAAATCAGATACATAAACTTCAGGTTTCTCAAAACAAATGGTATTCAGTGTTCTATAGTTAGTTTTCTTTAGAAAGCATTCACAGAAGTCTGACACTCCCCCAGTGAATCAGAGCCTGAGTGCACCAATCAACAAGAAGCATGAGCTTTGCAAACTGCAGAGCTTTGGGTCAGACTTAAAAGGGGGCATGTTGGGACTCTGCAAAGGGACCATGGCCTCCATGAGGACCAATGGCCCTTCCCTCCAGCATGCTGGAAGGGAATAGGATTTTCTACTCAGGCTATGACTCCTTTCTTAGGAAAATAAACTATAAGGCCTTATTCACACCATACGTGTAGAAATATTGATGAAAGCTGAAAAGCAGATTTCACTTGCAGACATCAATTTACCTCAGTATTCATGTGCGCTTCAATGAGTTTTATAGACATTGCAGATTCCTGCGTAGAAAAAAATCTGCACATGATACTAGTGCTGTAGTGTGAACAGGGCACATAGAGAACAATTGATTTTGTTGTCCCCATGCAAAATGCGTGCAGAAAAACTGACAGCTCTGCACCATGGTGTGAGCATAACACACAAAACACTGCGCAAATTCTATATATTAATAATAAAAATAAAACTTGCCTATATGCACCCATTCAGAAGACAAGTTACATGGGAATGTCAATGCAACTGAGGACAGGCATACTGTATGTCTCATCATATGTCAGCTACTTATCACTGTTCAGGATAACATTACTAAAATTTGATTGCTTCAAGGGAACCATAAAAAAAAAATGGAAATGATCTGACTGGGGCCCCACCAAATACTAACATTTTCTCTTGCTGATGATCAGACTTATGCAGCAGTGAGAAGTTAAAGTGGAAGCTTAGTCAAAACCTAACTAACGCTAAACTTACTCCCTGCCACACTCTAAGCCTATTCCATCTAGCTCTGTAAAGAAAAAAACCCGCTATACTTACCTATTCTGCAGCCAGTCCGGTCTGGTCTCCAGCGGCGGTTGCTGTGTGCAGGAGAGAACTGACGACTGGGAAATCCCGGGGAAGTGACGTGACCCATAGAGTTACTATGGGGCTTCCATTGTCAGCTGCCTCTCCTGCACATCCCACATACTGAAGCCGCCGCTGACAGCTCAGTGTGGGACCGGAGTGGCTGTAGAACAGATAAGTATAGTGATTTTCTTCCTTACAGAGCTAGATAGGTTAGACTTAGAATGTGGCAGAGAGCAGGTTTAGAGTTAGTTAGGTTTTTACTAAATGTCCCCTTTAAACTGTTTTTTTTGTCCTCCTTATAGCAGAAGTACTGCTACAGGGCGGCACGGGTGTGCAAAATCATGTCAATGTACCTGATCTTACATTTCCTGGTAGGGGGCACACGCTACTCACGCCGCCATTTCGCGCCCGTGGCTGTCAATCACCGGGTCCCGGCCGGTGATTACTCGCTGGCGCCCAGTGATTGCCAAACAGCTCTGACGGGGGGAGAACTGTTTGCAAACAAAACACTTCTCTCCTCTGTCAGCTCCAACACACTGCTTTGCATGGCTGTGCATAGCAAAGCCATGTGTGCTTACAGTGAAGCACAAACACAGCACACTGTTATAAACGGCACACAGCACACAGTTAACCCTTTGATTGCCCCACATGTTAACCCCTTCCTGCCCAGTGCCATTAGTACAGTGTCAGTGCTTTTTAGTAGCACTGATCACTGTATTGGTGTCACTGGGGATGTCAGTGACACCAAGTCAGTTCCCCCCAGTGTCAGAATGCCCGCCACAGTGCTGCAGTCCCGCTATAAGTCGCTGATCGCCACCATTACTAGTAAAAATACATTTTTAAAAAAAATCCCAGAATCTATACCGCCATTTGTAAATGCTATAACTTTCATATAAACCAATTAATTTACACATATTGGGATTTTTTTTAGCAAAGACATGTCGCAGAATACATTTTGGTCTAAAAAATTTATGACAAAATTTGAGTTAAAAGTAATGTTTTTTTTTCTCAAAATTGACGGTCTTTTATTTTTCTATAGCGCACAGGAGATCAAATATCACGGACAAAAATTTAATTTGGGTGCAGAGTTGCATGACCATGCAACTGTCAGTTAAAGTAGCTCCATAATGCAAAAAATGGCCTGGTCAGGAAGGGGGGTGAATCCTCAGGATGGCAAGCGGATAATAATCCACAACACAGCAGAAAAGTAACAACAGAATGTCCCAGACAGAAAAAAAAAAAAAAAATCAGTATTTTAATAAAAAGCGATTTTTATCACAAATTCAGTGAAATGTAGTGATTGATCTAAAAAATGTAGGCAAGACTACCCAAAATGTACATATAAATGCTGTACCAAGGTAGAGCTTATAATAGTTGTGCTAATAAAGGAAATTCAGCCTGTTACTAAATAAAAAAACAATTTAACTAAATAAATACTTTACTAATACTAAATACTTTGAATGTGAATGTGGAACACTTACACTACTCGCGCCCTAATTGGAACCCATTGGGACTCTCCCTAATAGGAACCCCTGTGAGTCAGCTGTTTTTAAAGTTTTAAAGAAGCAGCTCCAAAGGCTTTAGTGGTATCTAAAGTTCTCTTTTCAGCCACTGAAAATAATGAGTTCCCTAAAAAGGAACGTAGTTATATAGCACCTCATATGTGTCCTTTTTTACTGTAAAAAAAATTGTAGGCTCCAAGTAAGGACACCAAGGACACATAGGGGGCACACAGAAAGATTCCCACACATATGTTGAAAGCAAAAAAATGGCTTTAAAGATCCAGCAACTAAAGTAACAGACTAATTAGAAAGCTACATCCTAATCTACAAAAACAACTTACGTATGCGGTTTTCTTCTTGTAAAGCACCGTGGGAGAAGTTATTTTATATATAAAATAAAACTTAAATATGGTAATAAAATTAGAACTGCTAACCTGCCACAGTTTAATGCACATCACCATTCCACACTTGTCTGCAACTGGGTCCATGCAGCCTATTATTTTTTTGGATGCCAGGTCGATAACCTGAACCTGTTCAAAATAAGGAAAAAAATAGACTTAAAGGCACTTATTACATAAAAACTGTAATATAAGTACAGTAATGCAGTAAATGGAATTACTTTTACCAGAAATAAAATTATATATATGTCTTCATAAAATGGGAAAACTAGCAAAGTATGATTTGCAGTTATTCCTAGTTAGTTTTTTATTAATGCTAAAATTCACAGTTAAAATTTTAAATAATACTAATTCATTTTTATTAACTTCTCCATCCCTTTTTTTACTTGTATGTTAAGTTTAAAAAATAGTTTTTGTGGCATCAACAAAAGGAGGGGCACTTAGGTAGCCTCACCTTAGGATATTGTCATGAATGAAGAATAGGAGAGGCACTGATTTCACTGTGGCTCCCCACTCAGCTTGTGGATACAGCTGTGGCCCTTGGGCCTCTTGACGTTAAGCATCACTGTTTTATCGCAATTTAAAAATGTCCTTTATTGTGAAAGCTTTTTTATTCTTATAGGAACAGTGCTTTCATCTTGTATTTTTTTTTTTTTTCAGACAACTGGAAAGGTGATATATTGCCAAAAGTAATGGCACACCCCTCCAAATCAATGGATTCAGGTGTTCCAATCACTTCCATGGCCACAGATGTATAAATTCAAGCACCTAGGCATGCAGACTGCTTCTACAAACATTTGTGAAAGAATGGGTCGCTCTCAGTAGGAGCTCAGTGAATTCAAGCGTGGTACTGTGATAGGTTGCCACCTGTGCAATAAGACCATCTGCAAAATTTTCTTGCTACAAAATAATATTCCATGGTCAAAGTGAAAGCAAGTGGGAACTACCACAACTCAGCCACGAAGTGGTAGGCCACGTAAAATGACAGAGCGGGGGTCAGCTGAAGCGCACAGTGCGCAGAAGTCACCAACTGTCTGCAGAGTCAATAGCTAAGACCTCCAAACTTCATGTGGCCTTCAGAGTTATCACAACAATGCGTAGAGAGCTTCATGGAAAGGCTTTCTACGGCCGAGCAGCTGCATCCAAGCCTTACATCACCAAGTGCAATGCAAAGCGTCGGATACAGTGGTGTAAAGCACGCCACTACTGTACTCTGTAGCAGTGGAGACCTGTTCTATGGAGTGACGAATCACGCTTCTCTGTCTGGCAATCCGATGGACGTGTCTGGGTTTGCCGATTGCCAGGAGAACTGTACTTTCCTGACTTCATTGTGCCAAGTGTAAAGTTTGGTGGAGGGGGGATTATGGTGTGGGGTTGTTTTTCAGGGGTTGGGCTTGGCCCCTTAGTTCCCATGAAGGGAACTCTTAAGGCAGTGGTTCTCAACCTTTCTAATGCCGCGACCCCTTAATACAGTTCCTCATGTTGTGGTGACCCCCAACCATAAAATTATTTTCGTTGCTACTTCATAACTGTAATTTTGCAGTGGGAGGAGTAGTGCCATGTCATTGGTGTCAGTGGAAGGAGTAGTGCCCCATCACTGATGTCAGTGGGATGAATAGTGCCCCATCGTTGGTATCAGTGGGATGAATAGTGCCCCATCGTTGGTATCAGTGGGAGGAATAGTGCCCCATCGTTGGTATCAGTGGGAGGAATAGTGCCCCATCACTGATGTCAGTGGGATGAATAGTGCCCCATCACTGGTGTCAGTGGGAGGAATAGTGCCCCATCACTGGTGTCAGTGGGAGGAATAGTGCCCCATCACTGATGTCAGTGGGATGCATAGTGCCCCATCGTTGGTATCAGTGGGAGGAATAGTGCCCCATCACTGATGTCAGTGGGAGGAATAGTGCCCCATCACTGGTGTCAATGGGAGGAATAGTGCCCCATCACTGGTGTCAGTGGGAGGAATAGTGCCCCATCACTGGTGTCAGTGGGAGGAATAGTGCCCCATCGTTGGTGTCAGTGGGAGGAATAGTGCCCCATCGTTGGTGTCAGTGGGGGAGGAATAGTGCCCCATCGTTGGTGTCAGTGGGAGGAATAGTGCCCCATCGTTGGTATCAGTGGGAGGAATAGTGCCCCCATCGTTGGTATCAGTGGGAGGAATAGTGCCCCATCGTTGGTGTCAGTGTGGGAGGAATAGTGCCCCATCGTTGGTATCAGTGGGAGGAATAGTGCCCCATCGTTGGTATCAGTGGGAGGAATAGTGCCCCATCACTGATGTCAGTGGGATGAATAGTGCCCCATCACTGGTGTCAGTGGGAGGAATAGTGCCCCATCACTGGTGTCAGTGGGAGGAATAGTGCCCCATCACTGATGTCAGTGGGATGCATAGTGCCCCATCGTTGGTATCAGTGGGAGGAATAGTGCCCCATCACTGATGTCAGTGGGAGGAATAGTGCCCCATCACTTGGTCAATGGGAGGAATAGTGCCCCATCACGTTGGTGTCAGTGGGAGGAATAGTGCCCCATCACTGGTGTCAGTGGGGAGGAATAGTGCCCCATCACTGGTGTCAGTGGGAGGAATAGTGCCCCATCGTTGGTGTCAGTGGGAGGAATAGTGCCCCATCGTTGGTGTCAGTGGGAGGAATAGTGCCCCATCGTTGGTGTCAGTGGGAGGAATAGTGCCCCATCGTTGGTGTCAGTGGGAGGAATAGTTCCCCATCGTTAGTATCAGTGGGAGGAATAGTGCCCCATCGTTGGTATCAGTGGGAGGAATAGTGCCCCATCGTTGGTGTCAGTGGGAGGAATAGTGCCCCATCGTTGTTGTCAGTGGGAGGAATAGTAGTGCCCCATCGTTGGTGTCAGTGGGAGGAATAGTGCCCCATCGTTGGGTGTCAGTGGGAGGAATAGTGCCCCATCGTTGGTGTCAGTGAGAGGAATAGTGCCCCATCGTTGGTGTCAGTGGGAGGAATAGTGCCCCATCGTTGGAGTCAGTGGGAGGAATAGTGCCCCATCATTGGTGTCAGTGGGAGGAATAGTGCCCCATCATTGGTGTCAGTGGGAGGAGTAGTGCCCCATCATTGGTGTCAGTGGGGGGAGTAGTGCCCCATCATTGGTGTCAGTGGGGGGAGTAGTAGTAGTGCTCCATCACTGGTGTCAGTGGGGGGAGTAGTGCCCCATCACTGGTGTCAGTGGGGGAGAAGTAGTGCTCCATCACTGGTGTCAGTGGGAGGAATGTGCCACATCATTGTGTGGGAGGAATAGTGCCCCATCATTGGTGTCAGTGGGGGGAGTAGTGCCCCATCATTGGTGTCAGTGGGGGGAGTAGTGCCCCATCATTGGTGTCAGTGGGAGAAATAGTGCCCCATCACTGGTGTCAGTGGGGGGAGTAGTGCCCCATCACTGGTGTCAGTGGGAGTAGTGCCCATCACTGGTGTCAGTGGGAGTAGTGCTCCATCATGGTGTCAGTGGGAGGAATAGTGCCCCATCATTGGTGTCAGTGGGAGGAATAGTGCCCCATCATTGATGTCAGTGTGGTGGAGGGGAGAATAGTGCCCCATCATTGGGGTCGGGGGGGGGGGGGGGAAATAGTGTCCCATCGTTGGTGTCAGTGGGGGGAGGAATAGTGCCCCATCATTGGTGTCAGTGGGAGGAATAGTGCCCCATCATTGATGTCAGTGTGGTGGAGGGGAGAATAGTGCCCCATCATTGGGGTCAGGGGGGGGGGGGAAAACAGTGCCCCATCGTTGGTGTCAGTGGGGGGAGGAATAGTGCCCCATCGTTGGTGTCAGTGGGGGGAGGAATAGTGCCCCATCGTTGGTGTCAGTGGGGGGAGGAATACTGCCCCATCGTTGGTGTCAGTGGGGGGAGGAATAGTGCCCCATCGTTGGTGTCAGTGGGGGGAGGAATAGTGCCCCATCGTTGGTGTCAGTGGGGGGAGGAATAGTGCCCCATCGTTGGTGTCAGTGGGGGGAGGAATAGTGCCCCATCGTTGGTGTCAGTGGGGGGAGGAATAGTGCCCCATCGTTGGTGTCAGTGGGGGGAGGAATAGTGCCCCATCGTTGGTGTCAGTGGGGGGAGGAATAGTGCCCCATCATTGGTGTCAGTGGGGGGAGGAATAGTGCCCACATCGTTGGTGTCAGTGGGGGGAGGAATAGTGCCACATCGTTGGTGTCAGTGGGGGGGAGGAATAGTGCCCCATCGTTGGTGTCAGTTGGGGGAGGAATAGTGCCCCATCGTTGGTGTCAGTGGGGGGAGGAATAGTGCCCCATCGTTGGTGTCAGTGGGGGGAGGAATAGTGCCCCATCGTTGGTATTAGTGACACAAATAATGGGGCACTATTCCTCCCACTGACACCAATGATACTTACTTTGCTGACCCCTGCTCCAGCCTGGGCTCGCTCTCTCACTTACCTGTCAGCTGTCTTCCTTCTCTGGCCGCTCTCCTCTTCACTCGCTCCGGCAGCTCCCTCGGTCTTCTTTGATGTACGCGTGCTGCCGCTCGGCTCCTCCTCTCCAAGCTCCACCTCCTCGCCGGTGATTGGCCGCCTGTGTGCCTCTCCTGAGCTACAGTTCCGGTGGCCAATCAGCGGCGAGGAGGCGGAGCTGCTGAGCGATCCCGGAGGTGTGGCCAGGTGACAGGAGCAGCGTATCATCCCGCCCACACATCGCCGGAGACAGGAGCGGTGTCTCGGTTCCTAAGACCATCGGAAATATGTGTTTTCCGATGGTCTTAGGCGACCCCTGGGAAATGGTCGTTCGACCCCCAAAGGGGTCGCGACCCCCAGGTTGAGAACCGCTGTCTTAAGGCGTCAGCATACCAAGATAATTTGAACAATTTCATGCTTCCAACTTTGTGGCACCAGTGTACAAAGCAAGGTCCATAAAGACCCATGAATGAGCGAGTTTGAGGAGGAGGAAGCTGACTACCCTGCACAGAGTCCTGACCTCAACATGACAGAACACCTTTGGGATAAATTAGAGTGGAGACAGCAACCAGTGTAGAGTTGCAGCTTTAAAGCATAACCACAGGCAAACCTTATTTAGTTCTGAAAAGAGTGGACAGGGATTAGGGATTACAACACCTATAAGCTTTTATTTTAGGAAGATTCACCCTCTGTATTTGTCCTGTTT